TGGAACTCCCACCAGCAGTGGAGGAGTGTTCCCATTTCTCCACATTCTCTCCAGCATAAACTGTCATTGTTGTTTTTGATTTTGGCCATTCTGACAGGAGTAAGATGGTATCTCAGAGTTGTTTTGATTTGCAATTCCCTGATGGCTGAGGATGGATGTTGAACAATTTCTTACGTGTCTTTCAGCCATTTTAGATTCCTCTATTGAGAATTGTCTTTTTAATTCTGTACCCCAGTTTTTAATTGGATTATTTGGTGTTTTGGAGACTTCCTTCCTGAGTTCTTTGTAAATTTTGGAGATCAGCCCTCTGTCAGATGTGGGGTTGGTGAATATCTTTTTCCAATCCATGGGCTGTTGTTTTGTCTTGTTGACCGTGTCCTTTGCTTTACAGAAGCTTCTCAGTTTCAGGAGGTCCCATTTATTAATTGTTGATCTCAATGTCTGGGCTACTGGTGCTATGTTCAGGAAGTGGTCTCCTGTGACCTTATCTGTTTTTATGACCCTGAGAAATGCAGATCTTACAAGCTTGTTATTGCCAGCTGTGTGTGTGTGTGTGTGTGTGTGTGTGTGTGTGTGTGTGTGTGTACAAGCTGAAAACTTTGCAGGTTGACAGAACAACAAAGAGACTGAGGAAAAGTATCTAGTGGAGAATTTATTTTACTCTCAGATTTTTCTAGTCCCCATGCTTGCTATAGCTTTCTCTATGAACCCTGAGTTGACATTGAGGCTGGTACTTGAAGGCCCCTGATACATTCCTAGACCATTCCTAGATTCATGATTCATCCTTTGGTCTATCATGTCCATCATGCAGGAATGCTGTGCTGCCTCTGTTTTGCTCTCCAGGGAGCTGGGGACAGTCACAGCATAGCCATGACAATCTACATAAGGCACAGAAGGAAAGATTTTTTTTGGGTGTTTCGAGACAGGGTTTCTCTCTGTAGCTTTGGAGACTATCCTGGCACTCGCTCTGGAGACCAGGATGGCCTCGAACTCACAGAGATCAGCCTGCCTTTGCCTCCCGAGTGCTGGGATTAAAGGCGTGCGCCACCAATGCCTGGCGAAAGATTGTTTGTTTTTAAAGGTTGACATTATTAGTACTAGAAGTAAAGTTTGACACCTTCCAGTCTATTTTCAGAATCCTAAGACTTCCAAGAGTACTCAGCACCTATTTGCCAACCGTTGAGTGACCCAGATACAAGAGACTGAATCCAAGAAGCATGAAGGAACAAAAAACCGATGCTATTGGACAAAATGAACAATCTTTTTGTTTTGTTTTTCAAGACAGGGTTTCTTCATATAATCTTGGCTGCCCTGGGACTCCCTTTGTAGTCCTGGCTGGCCTCGGCCTCACAGAGTGTTACCTGCTTCTGCCTCCCAAGTGGTGGTATTAAATGTGAATGCTATTTCCACCCATATAAAATGAACAGTTATTAAGGATAAAAAAAGGCAAACTAGGAGTAGAACACTTTGCCAGTGTAGTAGGGGAACACGTGAAAACACAGAGACAACTATTCAGTGGGGACACTGAGAACTTTCCCTCTAAGACCTGGATCAGCACAAGGATGCTGCTGTGGCCACATCTGTTCAATGAATGAGAAAGATGACCCCTCTTACCACCTAGAGCACTCTGAGAAACAGGCCCTGGACCTCACCTAGACAGCAGAGTAGATCTGCCAGGCGGTTGAAGCTGAGGGTGACCAAGCCTCCATATTATGAATCAATAAAGACATTTGACAAAGTGAACTCTTTTTAATGATGAAACCAGACCAACTGGGCAAAGAGGATAGGCCAGTGCAGTAGACATACACGTGGAAACCCCAGCCAACCCAGTGCTCAGCTTTCCCTCTGGAACCAGGATCAACAAAGGATGCTGCTGTGGCCACTTCTGTGCAGTATTCCCTTAGGAGTCCTAGACAGAGCCATTAGGCAAGACAAAGAAATGAAAGGTATCCAATCTGCTGTAAAATATGTCTGCAGATGTCATGAATTTACCTGTAGAAATTCCGAAGTATTCTACAGAAGTTTCTGAAACTGGTGAGCAAACAAACCCACCTGAGCGGTCCTTCTGTAAATGAATAATGATCACAAACAACGGGATGCCCTGCTTTGTCCCGTGCACAGAGAAAGAAATACATGTAGTTGGACAGGACTGGAGGGAATGGACTGGAATAAAAATGATTTGAAAGCAGACAATGGTGATGACCACATGCTAATACGAATGTGTTCATACTGCTTATTTCCTGACTTCAAAATGGCCAAATGTGAGATCCTATGTATGTCTCAAAATATGTTAACAGGAAAAGGAATCTTGTGTGATGTCACCCCGTGTATGCCAGTCTTGGGATAGAAACAGTCAAGGTCAGCCTTTCGTTTAGTATACGTGTGCCTCATACCAACTGTGGATCAAAACTATTTAGTAAGCAGTTATGTGCACAGGGAAAGAGAGCAGTCCCTTTTCCAGCACTCTTGCTCACTTCGCTTGGATGACTGGTGTCTAGGCAACATTGGGGTTACATGAATCAGTTATAAATGGAATATATCTGAGCATAGGAGAGGACGCTTTTATCTCCATGCAAACACTGTCCCATGTTAACAGGGGACTCAGAGCACCCAGAACTTTGGGGTCTCATGGAATTTGTATCCATGGATTCTGAGAATTATCATATATTTAATCTACAACCTTAGTTAGCTCTTAACTCCTGCAATTCTGTTTACTATATTGATTTCTTCTTTTCCCCTTTGGAAATCAAATCTCTCTTTTAGTCCTGGCCTATCTGGGGACACAAGTTTATCCCAGGTTTACAGTCGTGAGTCACCATGCTGGCTGTACCTGCGTGGTGACCCATCTTTTCCACTACCTTCTCCTTGTTGGACCAGATCAATCGTGAAATGTCCCAAATCTGCTGTAGGCTGAGCTGAGGGAGGTCACTCATTTATCACGACCAGGCTGACTGGGAGACTGGTCTTTGAACTGACTGGGTTGAACACCTCACACTGATACTTTCCAGCATCTTCCCTCCTGACAGGATCTATTCTGAGCCTGTACTTTGTCGGCGACAGCGTCATCCTCTCTGTGAGCTGCAGACTTCGGCTATTGAAGTTCCAAGAGAAGGAGACTCCAGTGTCACGTGAGTGGCAGGTGAGGACCACAGAGCTCTGTGCTGTCACTGTGGTGCTGGTGATTTGGATAAAGGGCTGTGTCACAGGCTCTGTGAACAAAAGAGGGAGTGGAAATGACAATAACCCTTCAGAGATCTCAAACAGCCCCTCTGTAGTCAATGGACACTTAATCAACCCTCCAGGGTGGAGTCATCGGGGCTATGACAATGGAGAGATTTCTTGTGGTTTCTATCTGTCATCTATGGCCATGTGGCCCTGATTCTCTGTGTTTCCTGGTCTGTTTCCCTTCACCAGTGCACTCAGTGCATGATCATTTTCAGGGCCCCGTGCTGAGCTTGGAATGGGGGAGCTGCACAAATCCACAGCATCTTTTGCTATTTTCCTGCAGAAAAGAATTCCCTAGGCTGGACCCCTAAGGACAAGGTACCACCTGGAGACCAGTCACCTCTGTCCCTCCCCTTGGGCAGCCTGGCCTTCCTCTGAAGTCTCCTAAGCCCATAAGAAGAGTTGGCTTAGTCTGGCACCTGTCCACTGAGATTCAGATGTAGAAGATACCCAGGTGACCTAGCTAACTGCAGCCATCCTGGCAGTACACAGTTGGTTCCACACTCTATGGTCTTGGACAGTCGGTGAAATCCTTGTACCATGCCATCTCTAACAGGAAGTCAAATTCTAGCCCTGGAGGCAAGCTCTCCATGGTCACCTGAAGCTGAGACTGGAGCAGAGGTCTGGATCCAGGACATCCTGATTCTCACCTCACCATGAACAAAGCAGAGTTTCCCTGATAGCCTTGCCTGACTCCCATGAAGTCTTCCTCAGGGCCACGTTCATGGTGAGAGCCCCAATATTCTGAGGCTAACTGACATCCTTGGGCAGAGTTACTCAGTATACATCCTCTTCTGTAGGTGGAGTCATGAAAGGGATTCTGGTCTGTTTTAGTATTTCTACCCAATGTGTGTCCTGCACTAAGTCCTCAAACCTTACAGTGGAGACGTGGTGTAGAGAGGAGGCAATCAGTCCACAGCAATGAGTCTTGTGTGTGGAAAGTGAAATCAACCCCACCAGAGCCCAGACATCACAAAGAATCACTTACTGTATATGTGGAGGTACACATGTGTTTCTTGCGTTTCAAACTGTGTATTTAAGGTTCGTAGGGTGTAGTATCCAGAGTCCTCCTGGGTGGTGTTTTGGAGCAGCAGGGATCCATTGGGGTACACAGTCACTCTACTGCTGTGTACAGGCCCCAGAAAACTTTTATTAGCAGTAATTACCTTCCGTGCAATTTCATGTCTGCTGACAATGGTTACCTCTTTGGACCAGGAAAAGGCTCGAAGATTCTCTGGGATATTATGAACAAGTAGGAGAGCATTTTTTCCTTCAACAACATGGGGTGGCATTGTCTCAATAGAGAACTGGACATTGGTAGGAGGAAGTCTGCAGGCTAAAATGGAGGGTAGAGAAAGAGAGACAAATTCATCAATTCTGAGACCTTTGTGTTCGGTGAAAAGCTGGAGCCTGATTACTGAGAAATTTATACCATCACTCAGCTGAGGTGGGTGCAAGTGGCTGTCAAACTCAGAGGGAGGATGTAGTCAACGACCTCCATGAACTCTGTGCACTTGACTGTGTCACTTCCTGTGTGGAGATCTGTCTCGTCATGTGTTTACACACTCATGTGAGTGCCAGCTCACACTCAGAAAAGGTGGAGGTGGGGTGCTCTCCCTCATTTCTTCCTCTACAAACCCTCCAGTCCTCCCATTTTGATATCTTAGATCTCTTATCTCTCTGTTTGCAGTCAACCCCTGTGTTCACTCTGAGATGGTTTCCTAGTCTGTCTTCCAGGCCACTAGAGCTGGCCTTATTAGAAAAACTAGTTTGATCTTTCTGGAAGGCCTGGCACAGGAACAGGCTGAGATACATGTGGGTGGATGGAAGAACGAATGCCC